AGGGAGCAGAGTGAATGAGGTGGTGAGCAAGGGTGGCGACGTCCGCGAAAGGGCGGCGTGCGGGTGGCGGACACAGCAGCAACGGTAACAGCGGGGCGGTGGCAGCGGGTGGATGATGTGGAGAGCCGGGAAGGTGAGGAAGGCACTGCTGGCGATGGTCGAGCTGGACGTGGACGGCGCGTTGTTTGACAGCGCTGCCGTGTGGTCGGCGTTCTGGTTCGTGGACGCGGAAACTCACGGACGCGCCATTGAGCGGGCCGATGTTCGACATGCGTGAGGGCCAACGTGCAGGTGTGCTGGCAGTAGCGTGGCGAGTGGGATATGGCGCTGATGGTCCGGATTACGGATCTGCAGCACGGTGGGGTTGTTCGGGTGTATTCGTGGTGGCGTCTGGAACGCGGTGGAGCGGTTGGATGTGTTGCGTCAGCCGGATATCTCGTGGCGGTGTCGCGACCTGGACCTGGCCGTGGGGCTGCACACGATGGTCGAAGTGAACGAAACGGGTTCGATGCAGGTGATGTCGCTGCTTTTACTGCGCGTCTGCACCTCGCAAGTATTGCCGAGCTGCCCGCACAGATCGTGATCGTGGCTGCGACGGAGACCGACGCGATTAAAGAGTAGATATTTTAAGCGGAATAGGCCAAGATGGAGATCATGGAGGTGGAGGATGCGACTCCCGAGGTCAGGAAGGTTGAGTTGTGGATCAGCGTGGCGCTGCTCCAGCTGGAAGTTCCGCGTAAGACGGAGATACACGTTCGGAACCGGTGCCAAGGTGGACGTAGCCATGAGCAGTAGTAGAAAGGTACGCATGCTGAGGGACAGGAGAATGTTGGCGCCGTGTTGCTATTGAGTTGAAGTGCTTAAGTAAATAAATAAATAACGCGTGGGATTGATGAATGCTATCTACTGCTCTGTTCATTTAGTATACTACTACTAGTTTATAATACTTCAGCAGTAATTACTCTTAATACGTCTCCTCCCACAGGCTGTTGGATGTATTGTAATGACGAAGCGAGCTCGCTAGAGCTGCCGCCTGCCAGTTGTCGACGTCTGTAGTGCTCAAGATTTTGTATAACTAAGCAAATTGTAGACTGCGAAAATTGAGTCTAGTGTACTGAAATGATTACACCGGTCGGAGAAGTCGGAGAAATCACTTTATGCATGTGATATGTCAACATCTTGAACATTGTATTAGCATATCCATATTTTGCGTGTCACCTCCGACCCGATATCAACTCCGATTAGGCCCAACCTAGCCCTTACCATTTGGATTGGCCAAATCATTTTGTCAAGACCGAGCGATTGGTTGTCTAATAAATAAAAATGGATGATTGGTGATTAAAACCAATACTAAAATTAAGTTGATGATATTCAACATGGTTTTTCCACTAATAAAATAGTTTCAGCCAATCCGTATGCCGTATTTGGGCGTTTTTGTCCCAGGATGAGTTGATTGCTGAATTGGTTTTGTACATTTTGGAATCGTTTTTGTACTTCGTGTTCAGACGTTGAGCTGAAACTGCCACTTTCAACCAATCAAGTAGCTGGGCGGGTATTCCTGTCACGCGTAATAATTTTCTTTTATATGAAGGATAATGTTCATACACCGGACGGATTTCACCGTTGTCTGTACGTCTGTTTGTTCCTTTAAAAGACAATGGATGTTTAAACTCCGTTGTAGAGACGTCATATCTTTCCACTGCCAGCACTGATTGGACGGGAGATTTAAATATTGAACCTCCTACGAGTAGGCAAGTGGGATGTAACCACCTCTGGAACAATCACGAAGAATTTGTTTGACAATCCTGTGGTCGTACTCAGTCGAGTTAGTGTGTGACTTTTGGGTAGAGTACTTACTTCTGACACTGGGGAGGCATGTCATAATCGCGTTGCTCTCAACTCTGGGAAACACAGCAGCTGTATGCACTTTGAAGACTTTGATATTTACCAAGGGTTTTCACGAACACTTTTTACTCCTAGCATTTTTAATGGGTGCTTGGGATCTTTAGCGACCTGTGGTTGCTTTGGCCCAAGCCAGATTTCTAAGCTTTCTACTATTGATGCTAGTTTAGCCAAGCACCTTAATGTGTACTAGTAATGTATGTCAGCAATGGGGTCATACTAGATCACACAATAGTACATATCGCAGCAGTGCCCTCACGCGAACGACGCAATCAACAAAAAAACGATTTAATGGTTTAAGATTCCACGATCGGTTGCTGGACACGCAGAACCTCCACTGCGCCTGGCATCGTAGTATTTTTTTGTGTATACACCTACCGGTCGCGGGGGTGATGGCGCTACATTCTTTAAGCAAGCAACTGTAGGGTAATATGAGGAGTTTTTAATGAGCGACGATAGCGTGCTAGGAGAGCTCAAACTGATTTAGCCATCCTATGTCGTTTTCGTGTTTCTAGAGCGTAGCTGATCAACTGTTGATCATGCTGAGATCCTTTTACAGCGATGCCAGTCAACGCGGTATGGTGTATATTTTGTGTTTCACGGTGGTGTTTTGCGTGCGTTTAGCGCCTACAGCAATGTGCTAACTCCCAAAAATAGCAGCGGTTTGTATTGAAAATTCGACAGGGGTAAAATGAAATCGTGTGCGCACAGACGCACAGAAAACGCAAACGTTGTCATAGCGTCAGACGCCAACAAACGTATGAGCAGGGCGATTTTGACGTGATTTCGTTTTTGAGGACGTAATTTGACTGGCGCTAGGTGCATATTTTCCTTGGGTATTTTATTAATACCGCCCAATTCTTCCGTAGCATTTACTCTGTTGTAGAAAGTAGAAATTCACTAACCAGTTTATGGGTCAAGTCTCGTCCCATCGGAGCAGCAACCGCCTTATATCTAATGAGACGCAATAACCTCCGGTAAAGGTGAAAGTCGTTTCCGTCGTAGATATTGTCAAGCTGTCACTTCGACATGGGGGCCCGCCACACTTTATTAGCCCTTAATATCTTTCAGATTGAACTTTTTCGCAACCCTCGTCTTGTACACCTTATTTGCCTGAGTAGGATCTTTTATCAAACTTTTCGCCACTTTCATCGCCTCTGCCTTGTCTAAGATATTTTATCGTGTCAAAGAGGCCACGCTTCTCCCAGTTCTCTTGGCTTGCTCGAAGAATTTTTTTGCTAATAGAATGGTTTCTTCCCGTGGTAAAGTCGTGCGGCGATATCTTCAATTGAAAATGAAAATAGCGGGTGCGATGACGAAGGTCAGACGCATGACTGGAAATGCTTGGTGGAATGTAAAGTAGAAAACAAAAGTAGAAATGCCACCACTGAAAGGCTGGTCCAACAGAAAGGAGCTGTGAAGTGACGGTCCTATACCCTTACTTCTTTATTATTATGTTGATATCCGTCGATTTCCGTTTCAAATAATTGTGCTCGCACCATAAGCAATTTTAGAGCTGTAACCCTAGTAAACGGTGCTGTTCGTTGTACCGTAAACCACGGTATCAGCTCTTCATACGGAGAAGTACGCGGAACACGTTCTGTACAGACAATTCTCTTTGTAGTGAGTGATATCGTCGGGCTCTTTTCAGCACTATTCGGAGGAATCACTTTCCAGAGCTGTACCGTGACAAGGATACAATCTCCATTATGGCAATTGCTGCATCACGACTGCCAAACTGTTCAGCGTGAGCGTGGACCCCCCCCCCTTATATGGAGCTTGGAGCCTTAAAAATTCGATACCTGCGCCGGTCTTTAGAAAACACTGAAAGTACACGGGCCTTCAGGACTAGTGAATATTAGATCCCTGAAGAAGAGGACATGCCGTGATGATGTCGCGCTTGTCCAGGAATGACATTTGCTTCTTCCGGTCCTGCTTACGACCCATTTCAGTGGTTTCGTCTACGACTACGCTCTCTTCTGGCGGATTCAGCAGCATTTCGACGAATGTCAGCACTTTGTGTGCCTTTTCAGACGTAGTTCACCAATACACATCCCCTTCGCTTAATGACCTCTATTTAATAATAAAGAACTGATTCTCATCCAGTACAATCTGGAGATAAGAGCTTGGTTTGTGAATTGCTTGTCCATATCAGACCTCGCAGCTAATTTAAACAGAACAATACCGATTTATGATTGTAAGGGAAGCAAATGACAAATAGTGTACAGACAATCCTCTTTGAAGTATCTAAAAAAAACTCAAATTAAGATAGTTGCCGTAACGTCCGAAAAAACAAATGGCTCGCTGTGAGCCATTTGTAACAGGTCCTATCAGTGTTCTTTTACATATATGTACTCGAAAAGACGTAGACAGGTTGACTAAGACCTTTGAAGACGAGTTAACGCAAGTAGCAACACTTCCTCCTATTACTCCTGCTGTGGACGACTATGAAGTGTTCTATGACTGCTGCTCTTCTGACCAGGATTGGAGGAACCAGTACATTCAAGAAATCAAATCAGTTGATTGCCTGCATCAAGACCCCCACAATTTCAGACGGGTCGGTCTTACAAAAGAAGGATGGGACCAATCAGCGATTGAGATTGCGTGTCATTGGCAACGCCTTTAGGGGTGACACCGCTTCTTGACCCACTGGGACGTTGTGTGGCACGGTATTGGGATACACACATTTCGCCTTCTTGTGTTGGCCACACCAAAGAGCAAAGCACCGGCTCGAAATTATAGCCTGCTTTAAAAATAGGGGTACATATACGACTGTCCCGAAGTGTTATCGAAGGGACTTCTGTATTAATTGTTCAGCAGTTTTCACCGTCATTCTGTCAAATCTTGATAAAATCAGTCACGACCTTCATCGGATTACGGCTTACAAATACCAAAGTTTAGTAACGACCGTATTCAGATTACTGAACGACCTTTTCCAATACTGTGACGACCATTGTCGGCTAATGTACGATGCATTATCTTTCGAGTACTTGTTCGGATTGGACAACATCACTCCCTTTTTTCAGGCATTGGATTTTGCCAAATCTCGACCAAGAATGAGAGTTAACGCTCGTGGCTATCTCTTAATCACATGCGTGATGGCGATTTATTCCGTTTCGAACGCCCAGTTGCAACCAGAGTCTTGTATCACTGAAGGGTGCTGGAACGTTGACTTCAAAACGGCCGAAAAAGCTGCCGAGTGCTGCATGGCCAAGAGGGGCGAGTCGGCGGATTTGCCATCGTGCTGCGTGAGAAGGAACGATATTTCTTTCGAGTGCTTTTTTTTTTAGGAAATCGAGTGCACCGTGATTTTTTTGTTCGAAAGGTGTGAAACCGAGTGTCCCTTGTTCAACTTCAGGGAATGACCGAGTGCACTGCTGAGGTTAAGGCTTGAGCACGGAAGAAGATGCGTCAAGGCTCTGCCTTCATTAGTTCAGACGTAGCTAATGTAAGCTACATGTTGCAGCAACGATAAGCAGGCGTTCGTCTACAAAGCGATCCACGAGCTAGGGTTAGTGTGCTTCCATCGCCAGCTACGCCAGTCCATAGTGTAAGAGTTCCTTTCCTTCAAGCGCTTCTCCGTCAACACGATAAGAGCAAATTCAACGCTCGCCGTACGTTCACCGTAATACTCTAAATTGCTTCTACTTCATACTCATCTATCCTATCGTGTGCATTTCACATTGTGTTCAGGGCAATGGTGGAGAGCTCCACGGGAGAGCATAGCCCGAGTCGTCCATCGACCAGAGGACGGTACCAACGCATCTCGGTTCATGAAACGATGCAAAGCGCGCAAGTCGCGATTCAGCTCCAAAACGCGTTCAGCTACGTGTTCATGTTCAACACGGGGAAGCGGTTTCATGCCAAGGTCTATAGGTGTGTTGATCACCGCAGCTGCAATCGCTACTTCCGCGTAATGGAGATCAACGGAGAAGACGATCGTGATAGTCGCTGTTTTGCAGTCGAAGCTCGTGGTTCACATTCAATTACACTTAGTGAGCGAAGGCGCCAAGGCATACACCCCACTTTCAAATCGGAGATCGACGCAGCTATCGCAAGTAATGCTGGACCATGGAAGGCTCTCCTGATGCTCGCACGGCAATACGAAGCCAGACCGGATCTCTTAGCGATCCTTCCTAGCCGGGATCAAGTGAAAAAACGGAAAGCTTACATGATGAATGCGCTCGCTAAGAAGACCGAGGTGGCAAGCTTTGCGGATCTCAGCGAATGGGCTGGCCTGCGCTTGTGTGACTCCGCATTCGACTTCTTCAGTGCTGGTGGTTTTGACAGAACTACTGATGAGACAACGTTTTCGTCGAAGCCGCCTCAGTTTCGAAATGAAACGCTGGTACTCAAGTGTTTTCGCCACTTCGACGATGAAGAAGGGTAGACCTACGAGTCTTTTGGACTGGTGATGACGACAAGACGCGTTTTTCGAAATGTTCTCTACGCTGTAGAGGGACAGGACCAAGATGGAGTATTTGCGTCGACCGACGGAACGTACAAGCTCCACTATGGTACGTTTCTTTTAGTGCTCTCGAGTGATGATTGTTGATTAACAGTTTTTTGATCAATGTTAGGTGGCTGGGTGCTGGTTGCATTTGGAACGTACCAGTCGCACTTCACTGCCGAGAAGAAATACAGCAAGTCTTTCGTGCCCTGGGCGTACATGTTCGTACGAACTGAGCATCAATTCGCTTTCACGACTCTTTTTCGAACCGTCTTGGAGAAAACCCAGATTTGTTTGGTGTGGATCTCAATGTGCGCTTTGGGAGTCTTGATCATGCCGCATGCATTGCGAATTCATACAAGGAGGTGTGGCCGGACATCACATTGCTTGACTGCTACCCCCACTTGACGCGAAAGAGTCACGAGTAGCGGATTCAGCTGAAGCCCGTGGAGACTTCATCAGCTTATTACCAGAACAATATCAAGGTGAACATTACCCAGATGCATAAGACGAGGACGCCTGCACAATTCGAGGCAGTGTCGAAAAAGCTGTGTTTGCAGCGCTGGCAGGCAGATGGGCAGCATGAATATGCGGCTTGGTTCGAGAAAATATACCTGACAGACACGTGGACGCGATGGTACACGACAAGCGGCGCCCCCGGTGCCCTTCCGAATCAAAACCCCCTGGAGTCACACAACGCTGTGATTAAAACTTGTGGCGTGACAGCAAAGCGTGCGAAAACAGGCGTTGTTCTCAACGACTCAATTCCTGGCGTTTTCTCGTTGATGAGCGCGGCCTCACCGACCAGCGCGATTAGCCACTTCTCCGGAGGTACTCACTGTTACACAGTGAGGTATTGGGCCTGATGACTAATGGATCTATACGTACTCAGGTCCAATTCCAGACGACACCATTCACCAGGCAGTGCGCCACACTAGCTCATCGATGTACTACAAGAAGACGAAGGTTGTGAACAGAAAGAGGGTGCCACGATCGTTCCTGTTCAACGCAACCGAATACATGGACACAGATACAGATCCTGCATGTGAGGTTACGAAAGTGAGAGTCGACAGGTAGGTCCTCCTCATCTTATCTGTTCCATGCGCCTTAATCTTTAGTTAATCTGGCAATTGCGACAGATACCTCGAAGCCAAGGTCGGAAAACTTAGGGAGTCCGATACGGTGGAAGATATCAACATCCACTATCTCTGTCTGCATGAGGTGGAGATTCTGAACCATTCAGATCGGGCCAAAACATTTCAACTACAGCTCCATCCTGTGATCTCGATGGATAATGTAAGTTTCATGCTACAATGATCTGTTTGTTATCATCTCATCTCGTAGTGTTGTTGCTGTACAGATCCGTGAAATACGGGCGCTCTTCCGATGCGATTGCAAAATGTTTTGGTCGACAGGGTGGGTTTGTTCTCACGTTCTCGCAGTGATGTCAATCAGGAAGCAATTCGATCTGACTGTCGCCAAAAAAAATCTTCCTACCACGAAACTTTGCGGGGGACAACGCAAAATCGCTGGTGCACTCTTCATTGATGCACCCGACTGCCGCACGTTTTCGATTCCATCCCTGGAAAAGAAGTTGACGAAGAAACCGCACAATCCTTATGGCTGGCAGATAGCAAAGGATTTTGCCGTTGTCGTCAACGGAGAAGAGGAGGACATCAGCATGATTATCACAATTCAAGCCTACTCAAGTCGGGGTGGTAGATATAGATGGCTTGTCGACTTCGAGGGAGGCAAGCAAGTCTTCCTAGAGTGCCAGCAATTGGTGCAGCTGATCGTAGAATCAAGACGTACTGGCCTCGATGTTACAAAGGATGCTGCCGCCCACGCAAACACACACGAATCGCATCCCCGCAGTGTCGACCGTGACGCCGACGACGATCAGGACTTGGACAGCTAAGACGATCAGGAGTGACAGTTGGCATTGAGCATTTGAGCGTAGGACTGGACTAGCAGAGCTCAGCGTACCTTGTGTAGGAAGTGAACCAGGATCCAAGGCTCATTCATGTTTTCTTCTCGCAAATACATGTATTTTTCTCCTCTTACATCCTGGTGAGCTCTGCATCCGGCCCCAAGGACAGTGTAGTACATTCAAACAAGCATGGACCGGACAAGACAAGTATAGAGCCGACGATATCGCCATGTGTTATCTGCACTCGGCATTCCGCCATTTCGTGGCAAAAATGTCTGCACTCGAAAACCCCTCAACATGCACTCGAATACCATCCGCGCCCGCGTGAGAAGCTGTCAGCTTGGATTTCCGTGTCATTGAGAAACTCCTCCGACACAACAAAAAATGTTTGACTCACTGCCGCCATCCAGTCGACGCGTTGAAGAAGACGCTCTCAACCGTTTTCACGTGTCCCTTATCTTCTTGTTCAATTCTGGAGATACCTGTACAAGGAGATGCCATGACACTCAAGCTCTGCTGCATATCGGCTGCGCGCTTGAGATGCGGCATTAGGAAGAATTAATGCGGAAAGATAATAAAACATTGGGGACTTTTATACAAAGCTCTTAAGATGTTCAATTTTCTGACAGGGGAGATATCGTCTGAAAAGATTAGATTAAGAATCGATTTTTCTCCGAATGCAAACATAAGGTAAAATTGGCACTTTGGCAAAATTAACTTTCAAACGCAGACAGTGGTTTTACCAGAAGCTTCACATGAGGACCTGCACATCTGTAGTGTAAGCTGGAGCAGTCAAAAAAAAAAATCAGCCTCATTTACACCATTAATTTTATAAAAAGGTAACTAGGAGAACGAAAAAGTCTGGCGACATATGTGTATCCCAATACCGTGCCACACAACGTCCCAGTGGGCCAAGATGCGGTGTCACCCCTAAAGGCGTTGCCAATGACCCGCAATATCGATCGCTGATTGGTCCCATCCCTCTTTTGTAAGACCGACCCTAAGGGTCGGTCTGAAATTGTGGGGGTCGTTTTGGCTGAGATGCCAATTTCATATTATTTACAATAAAAACTTAGGCCGTGTTCTGTTGGCAGGGGCAAATTCAGCTTGTTTGAAAGTAAGCTAGAGCTGTAGAGCAGTCGTTTTGTTAAGTAAAATAAAGATAAAATAGTGATCGTGTTTGTGACGGGGTCACACAGCACCTTGCGCAAGAGGAAGTTATCTTCCGAGAGTATACAAACTCTCAGTGAACGGCAGTTCACAGGTCCCCTCTTTTATTAAAGAGAGCGAAGTGACCCAAATAAGGTAGATTGTAAACTGAGTATATTTATAGGTAGATTAAGTTTGGGTTTAATACAAACTGTTAGTTACCTATAGAAATGCAATGTCATTTAACCAATGGTTGGCTTTGAACGACCTTGGTACCTTGTACCAAATATCTCGGAGTATGACGTGTCATACACCTGAAGTGTGAAGTGTCACACTTCATGTAACCAGGGTACACTTAGGGCTACGTACCCCGTTACATCCTCCCCCACTTAGGTTCGGTTTACCGACCAATCTGAATGAAGAGGTGTTCATCAAAAATCTCATTCTCAAAGTCGAAAACCATCGACTTGGCCGCGCGAGCGCGGCGGAGGCTCACTTCACAGTTAGAGCCTCGAGCAGCAACCTGTGCGCTCTTCGTCTAGGTCTCCACTTCGACCGTTAACATGCCTCGTGGCACTACTAAGAGCGGTGCTAAGACACGCTCCAAGGCTGCAGCCGGTAAGGCGCAGGCCAAGAGCACTAAGCCTCACGGCAAAGGCTCTGCACTCAAGGAGGCTACTCAGGTGGCCTCCGAGGCGATCGGTTCCTCGGGTGACGCGGCTGCGGACAAGCGCGCAAGCAGGCGCCGCAGTCCGTCGCCCTCGTCTTCAGACAACCGTCCGAACCCTCGGTTCGTAGAACGCGAGTTCAACTCGGGCAGTGAAGACGATGCCGAGTCCGAGAGCACTCAGGATGCTCCTGCGGGCTCTGTGAGAGGGCACAGCCCAGTGCCCAGTGAGCACAAAGAAGGCAGCGTGCAGTCGCCCGCTAGTGATCACGGTGATCACAGTCCCAGGACCTCTGTGCGCTCTGAGAGTCCGGCCGTTAAGGCTAAGGGCGCTCCCAAAGCCGGTGGCGATGAGGAAGAGAATCCTCACAAACGTATCTCGCTTGCCGAGGGTCTTGCGCGCGCTAAGGCCTCTAAAGCCGAAGGCGCCAAGCCCTCAAAGAAGCGTACCGCCTCTAAGTCTCCACTCCGCGAGGAGAAGGAGACTCGACGCTCCTATCAGAGTCTCTTCGGCTCCTCGGATGAAGAGGAGGAGAAGGAGGAAGAAGAAGAGGAGGAGGGTGCTATCGTTGAGCCCCGGGAGGTCTCGAATGACCTCGACCAGCAGCAGGAGGAATTCCAAGCTGCCCAGCGTGTGCGTGGGGGTTCTGTGGCGGCACCCGTCAGCCAGGGAGCTGCCATCAACTCAAGAGGGTATTGGCCTCCCGAGGAGAGCTCTGGGGCTGACCTCTTCTTAGAGCTTCTCGTCGCTCCTCGTGGCCTTGTGGGCGGCCACACTTCTAGGGGCATCTATGAACGAGCCCTTGTTCAGAAAGAACAGTTGTTCGTCGACAACTTGGAGGCTGCTCGGTGTGTGCTTCTCGCGCAGCACCGCATTCCCCTTTAGGACTTCACGACTTGTCGTAAGAAGCCCGAGACCCGGGGTGGTCTCTATCCTGTTTGGGGATACCCCTGGGTTATGCCCGAGAACTGTCCCACGTGGTGTTCTTGTGAGGACATGTTCTGGGCGTGGGTGGAGACTCTCAAGTACTCGCCCACGGAGTTATGGGAACTCCATGAAGATCAGCAGCTGTCCCACATCCTAGACCAGCGTGATCTTCGTGTGAGGTTTGCCCACTTGATCAGCAAGCGTATGCTGCCAAGGGACATCCTGAAGCGCGCGGCTTCTAGCGCTCACGATGAGCGCGGGTACGGTATGTATTCATCGACCGTACCCCGTTCGGGCAAGAAGCCCCGGACTACTTATGAAGCTGCCGCTGCTTCTGTTCCCAGATTGCGACAGCCTTCGGGCAGTCAATCAGGAGCCGTTCAATCGGCTCCCACGAGTTCTCGGAGTGGGCATAACCCCTCCACTTCACGAGGAGATGTCGCTTGCCGCGACACCGTTGCTCCTGGAGGATCCGCTCCACGTGGTAGTGGGCTTCTCCATTCCGGTCAAGCAGGGGCGGAGGTGCCCTCGCACGAGTACGAGTACTCGGCGCCTCCCGAGAGCCACTCTCGTCCGAGTGCTCCGACTGCGGGTCCGACACAGGACCCTGAGGTTGACCGCCTCCGTCAACGTGTCCTCGTGCTTGAGATTGCACTTGGCCTTGGGACTGGTGGTAATGCTGCCGCCCAGGCCGGGAATCAGGGCGAGCTCGCTCGTCTTGCGGGCCACCTGGACCTGGTGGAGCGAGAGGTCGCGAGCCTGCATTTGCGGGTGGATCGCCGGGCCTCTTCGTCCGATCTGGACGAGGCATTTCGCATGATCCGACGGATCGAGGCTTTGTTGCCACGTCCGGAGCCGCCTGCGGCACACTCCCAGACGTACGCGTATGGTGCGTACCCGGCGTACTCAGCGTACTCGGCGTATGGCGCCGGGGTCCGTTCGTATGGAGCCCCTCCGGCGTACGGTCTTGACCGCAGCCTTGCCGTCCCGACCGAGACTTGGGTGCCTGCTCCGACGCCCTCGTCGACGACTGTGACCGGCCCTCGCTTCGAGGAGCTGGGTCAAGGGGGATCTGCGAGTCAGCAACCCCCTGCGGGTCAAAGTACCGCTTAAGACGTCCGACATAGAACGTCGGGTGCGTCGTCATTGACTTTGGAAGGTCGATGGTGTACGACGCACCATGTCTGGCCAGGACTGCAAAAGGTCCGATGAAGCGGTGCTTCAGTTTGTTGCTGCCGACAGAGCTAACAGTGTCTAGAGGTAGGTTTCTCGTGTCTAGCAGCACTAAGTCACCAACCTCAAATATACTTAAGTTTCCTCTTCCTTGTTTGTCTGAGTACTCCTTTTGTTTATCTTGGGCCGCTGCCATGGCATCGCGGACCCTGCTGACAATGTTCAGCTTGGTATCCATAAAGGATTCCACCTGTTTCCGCAGCGAAACTGGCCTCACATCCGAGACCTGGGAGGAAAGAGCTTTCCGAGCCTCTCCCCCACTTAAAATAGAGGAGTCAGTGTCTCCTCGAAGAGTGAGGGGCACTCTGGGGTGGCGGAAGCCGCTCAAGTAGAACGGCGTGAACCCCGTGGACGCGTGCACCGCGTTGTTGAGCGCAAACTCAACAACTGGAAGCTGCGACGACCACGCACGTGGCGCTGCCGCGCACACACTGCGCAGAGTGTCCTCGAGCACTCGATTGACGCGCTCTGTTTGGCCGTCTGTCTGCGGATGATCCGCAGTGGACATCTGCAGACGAGTTCCCAGTAAAGGGAACAGCGTTTTCCAAAACGCAGCAGTGAACCGCGGGTCTCGGTCCGAGACAATCGTCTCCGGGAGACCTTGATAGCGGAACACGCCATCGACGAACAACCTTGCGGTTTGTTCGCCCGTTACAGTGACGGGAACTGGAGCAAGATGCACCATCTTGCTCAGCCGACACACGAACACCAAAATTCCGGTGTTGCCGTGTCCGTCGGCGGGAAAGCCCAAAGATGAAGTCAAGACTCATCAACTTCCCAATAATCAGCCGGTACGGGCAGGCTCTGTAGTGGAGCCGAAGAGTGCCCTGCGGGTTTGACCCGCTGACATGTTTCGCATGTCTTGACGTATCGGGCGACCCACTTGTACATGTGGGTCCACCAGAAGGACTGAGAGACCGACAGAAAGGTCTTCTCGCGGCCCAAGTGGCCGCTGGAGGGCGCGTCATGCGCCTCCGCGAGGATGTCGAACTTCAGATCCTCGTCGTTGGG